CAGTAACCAGTCTTTGTCTAAATTTTCCCCAACCAGTCAGACTGGCTCAAACACACCCAAGCCAGACTCAAGCAAGTTGGGCAAAGATGCCAAGCTGACACCAGAGGAGTGCAAACACCATAGAGACAACAACCTCTGCATGTTCTGTGGGGGCACCAGACATTTCACAGATAAGTGTCCCAAGAAAGCTGGGAAAGCCAAAGCTCATGCTGCAGCCACCTCTGAGGCAACACTGGCCTCAACCTTGGGCTCTGCCCCCAAGGCAAAAAAATAGGTAGCAGCTCTCAGGACTCCACAGACTGTGAGCTGCATTGACTCTGGCTGTGCACTCATGGAGGCTTGTCTCAACATGTCTGCTCTTTCCAATCCAAATTCATTAACTCCCCATGTTTTTATTGTCAATCACAGTTTGCCCTGGTTTCACACTCTAGTGGACTCCAGTTCCACACATAGTTACAGATAAAGGATTTGCCAATCAACACTCATTTAACCCTTACTCTGTACCCCCTATCCAACTCTGGCTCTTTGATGGGTTGTCAAGTTTCATTATCACTCAAGCAGTAGATCTTTCAGTTCAGTTTGTGATTGGTGATGTCACCCTGGTAACCCTGTTTTTAGCCCCATTGGATTCTGAATGTAAGATAGTCCTTGGACATAACTGGCTCACCTGCTACAATCTGTTGATTGATTGGGTACTGAGCAGTCTAACTTTCCAGACATCTACAGGAGGAATGCCAACCCCATCAACACCCCCTGCCACACTGGTCTTAACCAGTCTTCCCAATCCCAGTCTACCTGACCAACCCACTGATGTGTCTGATTATGCCATAGCCAGTATTTTGACCATCACCAGTGGTGATGGTTGACCTCTTTTCCAGCCTCTCCTTTCACTTGGAGGCACCCCCTGGGCATACAAGCCCCTCTTTCCTGTACCTGCCTCCCTGGCCTCAGCATGGTGCTAGTCCTTCAGACTTGCTCCTGGCCCCTGGCTTTTGGTCTAGGACTGGTCTGCCAGTCCTCTGGCCCCTATCCTGGTCCCTGGTCTCATTTCCAGTCCTTTCCCTGTCCTCTGTCCACCCCAGGATCCTAACTGGGTTAACAAGTTGGTAACTCTGTACTCCAGAAGCCAAAACTGGCAGTCTTGGCTGAGACAAAACAATTAGAGTCTACCCCAGGATCCTAACTGGGTCAACAAGTTGGTACTCTTGTACACCAGAAGCCAAACTGGTGGTCTCAGTAGGGACAAATCAATTAGTGGATCACTTGGTCCCTTAGCAATCCTGGCTTGTCCTGCCAGTCCCTCAGCCTCAACCTGGCTTTGCAGCCCTGGACCAGACTTGCTAACTCTGGTCCTCCTACTTGTGTCCAGTTTTATCACCTCCAGACTCCCTTATGACCAGCCTTGCTGACTCTGGCCTTCTTTCTCTTTTCTGGTGTTTCATCTCCAGACTTCCTTGTGACCCCTGACTGGTCTTGCTCACTCCAGACTCATTTCTTTTGGCTGGTCTCCCATCTCCAGCCTCCCTCAGCCTCTGGTACCCCTTGGGTAGCTCTATGCTACTCCCCTGTCACTCATTTGGCCTTTGGGCCTCTCCCTCCTCCTGGAACTACCCCTGTCCTCTACCCCAGTGCTATGGTCTTGACCTAGCACCCTTTCCAGTCCTTGGTGGACCCAGCCTTGGTTCTCTCTTGGTCTCTGACCCCCTGTTTTAACCAGCCTTGTCAACCCATTAGGAACTGAAGTATATAGGTCATAGGGAGCCAACTAGCCCACTCAATAGGCACCTGTTGGTGGCTGAGTGCAGTGCAGTCACCTATCCCCACCTAATGCTAAAGTTTGCTAACCCCCCTGACATCAACCCCACCTTGGAGCATGAATTTGCTTGCAAGACACCCTGGGCTTCAGCCCATTTGACAAACCCCCAACTCTGCTGGTCTGTCTCCCAGCTCACCCACTCACCCCAGAACTTGTATGTTCATGAGGCCCCTTTGGGTACCAGCTAACCCCTCACCTTCCCCCTAACCATCACCACTGTCACCCCACCATTAACTCCAGAACTCTGGTCCTACCCATTCTCCCAACTCCAGTCTTACCAGTTGTCTTTGGTCTGCTGGCCTTCACTGGCCTTCTTGTTTCCTCTTGGGCTCTGGTTCCAGTCTTCATACCCTCACTTTTGACTCCAACACTCATTACTATCCCTGTACCAGTCCAGTCTGCCCTGCTGGCCTTGTAAAAGCTTCCCAGAACCAGTCTTGACACCTGTTAAGCCAGTCTCTGCATTCTCAGTACTTGGATTCACAACTCCAGTGGTAGGGCTCCTACTACCCATCCAGTACTCCTCTCAGTGGTGTAGGGAGTTGTATACTCCCTGAGGCTGGAACACAAGTCAGTCACTAAATTCTGCAAGCCTCTGCAACAGACCCATTTTGGGATTTTTCCTGCTTGTGACCTCATGTTTTCTCCCAAGCCCTGTCACCTTCAGAGTTTCTCCCAACCTTCAGCATGTTTCCCAGTCATCAATAAAGCTGATCTGGAAATTCTGCATTTGCCCAGAGTCATCTGGAGTTCAGTAGCTGCACCACTGCCTAACCACATCATCACTCATTTGTGCCAGATGCCTCTAAAAAACTCCAGTTATCCCTATCACCCTAAATTCTGCAAGCTGGACTTTGTGCCAGTATGCTCTGCCCTCCTGTGCTTCCCCCTCCTGCCAGCTCCACCTCTCACTTGTATGCATACCCTAGTTCTGTTGGAAGATACCCCTTACCATTGACCCATTTTTACTCTCATCTACTACTTGCTGGACTATTTCACATGCATCTGTAATTCACTGACATCTGTCATCCTTTCCTTTATTTTCCAGGTTTTTTTTTGTTTTTCTGTCCCACCTTACTCTGACTCATACCTACTTCCCTTATACTATATAATTCTGCCATAATGTCAGAAATAAACCACCCACCTTTAGAGTCACTATTTGTGTGTGTTCTGTGAGTTCAAGAAGAGTGATCCTTGTGTCTCTTGTGTCTTCCAAACCTGCACACCTTATTCCATATCTCCCTCACCTCAAATACACTCTTCTTGCCACAATTTGGCTTCTTGGAATTTTGTATACCCATCTCATTATCTTTGTGGGTCCATGACCCCCTGGAATTAAATTCTTGGACCCTCACATGTATTCCCCAACCCTTCTAGGGTAACCCTTGACTTCTCCTTCCACACAGCACCCCTTGGGACAATCCTAGGGGATTCTCCCTTCAGCCTTCCTCTACTCACATGCTTCCCAGAAGTCATGTCACACAGCAGTCCTGGCCCACACCTTGTACCACTGCAGACTTGGGGAGTCTACCCTAAGAGGGGACAAGGGACCTCACTAGTGACCTGCTCTCCTCCAAACCCCTGTCCATTATCTCTCCAGTGCCCTCAGCACAACCCCACTCAGTCCCTGCACACTGGTCCCTGGTTCCTTGGCCTGGTTCTTGCACAGTGAAACACTCCTGAACCACCTGCCCTGGGTTTCTCTAAGCCCTTGGCATTTGCAATGGTACTCTGGTCTCACTACCCCAGTGGTCCTTGTCCTTGGTGATTGTGTGTTCACCAGTCTTCCTGGTCGGAAGGGATAAAAACAAAAAACGTTACTGCAGAGTTGGAAAGCCCAAATTTTCGTGCTTGTCTTGAGCACCGAGGAATTTCGCTACACTGCAGCTCATCGGTGGACTATCCGAGCCTTTATAAACAGCCCAGTGACTTTAGGGCAGGCTCATCGCTTATCTATGATTGCGTCATAGGTGACGTCACCACATATAACTTAATATAGTATAGACTATCATGTGTGAGAAGGCAGTTAGCTATCGTCCAATAGGATTAAGGGCGCATACATAGCCCACTTAGCTGTCCCTGTGACTCCCACGGGTTGTCAAAATAAGGTTTGATTTTTGAAATGGTTAGTGAAACCGGATCATTCCTTCAGGGTTCTGCTGTGGTTATCCAAGAATATCTCCATTCTTTCAGGACATCGCGTGTTTCCTCATCAGCGACAATAAACCCTAGATCTATTACCGGGCCATCAAAGGCCGACATAGAGTTTAAGTTGCGTTCTTCGAGGATCAGCTCCGCCTCGCACATAGCGCATGTACGTCTGTCAATTCGTTCCAGAACGACCCTATCATGTTCTTCTAGCATTTCCTGTGCTGACAGCATAGGGTTATATACTCTAGAGATAAGGTTCAATCGTTCCTTGTTCCAGACCATAGCTAGATCGCCTAGATTACATGTTCGTTTTCTAGATACGACCCACTTCGCATCATTGAACAATGCCGCGCCTAGATCAAACAGCCAGGCATCTTTTTCCTTGGTGATTGTGTGTTCACCAGTCTTCCTGGTCTCAGCCTCCTGTTGTCAGCCATTTGGCTGGATAACCCCTAGGCCTCACCTGGTCTCCAGACCCCCTGAACCGGTCTTCCAATGGCCTTTTTGGCCTTTGGGCTTCTCACCACTGGATAACCCACTTCCAACCAGCTCCAGACACCCTTAAACTGGACTCAGCACCCAGACTCACCTTTGGCTGACACTCCTAAACTTCATTGAACCAGTCTCATGACCTGCTGATCCCCAGTTCATGCCTAGCTATGTCAAGTCCTCCTGTCCTTGTCCAGACCAAACTCTAGCTGTCCTAGACAGTCCCTAGTCCCTTGCTGACCTCCAGAAGCTTGTCCAGCCTGTTCCAAGGTGCTTGGCACCTGGCCTCAGGTTTGCATCTTGCTACCCCTGGTTACCCCGGTCTTGGTGTTAGCCCACTGGCCTACACTGTTTTGGCCTCTGGTTGTCAGCCCACCAGCTAGATGGCACCTCAGGTCACCTTTAACCACCCCAAACCTCTCCAACCACTTCAGACTAGCCTTCAGCCAGCTGTGCCAGCCCTGCCCAAGTCCATTCCAGTCTTCCTTTGGTATTTCTGGCCTTACCACCCTGTCCAGGTCTAGACTGGTCTCCCATAGCCTTCCTAGCCCTTCCAGCCCTCACTGGTCCCTGACTGGTCACCACCTGGCTTTTCTAAGCCCTCTTTGACCATTAGACCAGTCTCCAGCTGGCCCTTCCGGTCCTCTCCGAACCTCAGACCAGTTCCTGGCCTTCCTGGCCTTCTGTTCCCTTGACCAGTCTTTGCTCCTGCTGTTTTCTCTGGATCAATTACTTTAACATGACTGGCTTCAGCCACTCCCAGTCTCAGTCTCCAGCTTTTGCCACCCCTGGCCTGAGCCACCCTTGGTCTCAGCCTTCGGCTTTGACCCCTGCCTCTAGCCCTGGTTTCCTGTTTCCTTGTTATATGTTTTCTCAGTTTTCTGTTATCTGTTTTCTCTTTCTGTAGATACACACTTTCAGACCCTGTGACCCCCTGGAGCAGACCTTGGACCCATCCTGGCCTTCTCAGCACTCCTTGTGACACTCTGTACCCCTGCAGCTCACTTCCATCTCCTAGACTGGTTTTCTGGCCTTCCCTGCACCCACCCAGCCTTTGTGTCATTCTGGCGTCACTCAGCAGCTCATTGGTACACCCCTGGACCAACCTTTGGTCATCTCCGGACCTCTCTGGACCCTCTCAGCCTCCTTGTTGCCCTGAACCAGCTTTGAGGCACACCTCCAGTCCTAGTGACCACCCCTGGTATGTTTGTTGGACATTATGAGTCACCTGTACCTTTTTGGCCTCCAGTTTTCCCAGACCCAGCTCTGAAGCACACCCATGAGCCTTGCTTGGTCACTCCTGGCCTTCTTGTTGCCTTGACCCAGCCCCAAGGTGTGACTCTTGCCCTCTGAAACACTGGCTTCAGCTTTCACTGTCTCTGGAAGCCCCTGTCCAGCCAGTCTAATCACTCCCAGACTTGGCTTTGCCTTGTCCTGGCCTGCTGAACCACCTGGCAGCATCCTAGACCAGTTTCTGGCCCTCCTTGTTGTCATTCTCCAGCCTTGGGTTCCCAGAACAGTCCTTGGTCTTGACCCTTGTGCCCAAATCCAGCTTATGCCATCCTGGTCTAAACTACTGGACCTCCAGTCATCACTGCCCAGTTTCCTTGCCCTCAGACTCACCCTTGGCACTGTGTGTACACTTTGACTCACTGCTAGTCATGCAACTACATTGTGTAACCCTCTGGGCATATTTCCCTATGGAACCTCAAGGGTTCAGTTCCTAAGAGGGGGATACTGTCATATCCATGACTCTCAGACTCAATCCTGGTCCAGTCTGAACCCCTAGCCCCTATCTCTGGTCAAGCCCAGTCCTAGTCTGGCCTAGAAAACCCAACTCCAGCCCTAGATAACCCAACTCTGGCCCTAGATAACCCAACTCCAGCCTTAGATAACCCAACTCTGGTCCTTTTGTCTGACTCTGCTTACTGTACAAATCCTGTGTCCAACTTCAGTTATGCTGGTCACCCAGACTTTGGCTATTAGCCTCAGCACAGCCACAGTGGCTGTCCTCACCTTGCTAATCATCTCACTAATAGCTTATTAACAAGTCCAGCTTTATGTTCATTACCCTGGACCAGCCTTAGTGCCCATATATACACCCTTGTCACCCCTTACAAGAAATATTTTCTACCCCTGCATTGGTAGATGATCATACCCTCATCAGGAATGAGGGTAATGACTTATACAATAATGATTTTGACTTTGACAACTCTGCCATCAGTAACATGACCAGAGAACCTTGTGGAGAATAGTTGAAGTCAGGGACTTCAATGCTTAGAGAGGGGGTGATGTTGCATTTCACCCCTGTTTTTGCCTTCCACTTGCCTCATTTCTGTTCCAATGGACTTACTTCCTTTTTCAGCCATCTTCTCATTGATCTGACAGCCCTTTACTCCCACCACTAGCATTAGTACCTTGTAACATGCTTAGGACATGTGTCATTGTTATTCAACCAATGGCATAGTTAGCTCATTACATGCAGATGCCTCATGGTCTATTTCCTTGTAGTATTTAGAGTGTTGGCTCAAGTCCTGGAACCCCAGACTTGAGCTGCTCAATCATACACAGTGTTCCTCAGAACTTCACCCTCAGTGTCCCTTAACAGGACCACTCTTATCAGCATTGCCCAAATCCTCTGTTGGTTACAGAGGTTACCTCAGCAGTTTGCTAGGTAGAAACCATAGTCTGCAACTGAGCTCTCCTTATGCTTGGACTTCAGTCTCAGCATAACAGGTTGTGAGTTCCTAGGGAAGGAATTCATGATGTACCTAAAAGCAGCTGGTACAAAGCAGACACTTACCATGCACAACACCCCACAGCATAATGGGATCACTGAATGACTGAACTGCACCCTACTGGAGAAAGTCCACACTATGTCACACAAAAGCAGTTTACCCTCATGCCCTATGGGGTGAAGCAGTACATCATGCTGTCTGGTTGCAAAACCAGACTCCCACCAAAGCACTTGATGGTGGGACACCCCTTGAAGCTGTGACAGGGAAGAAGCCAGACCTAAGTCAAGCCCATGCATGGGGCTCAAGCATCTGGGTACATACCAAGTGTGGAACCTAGCTTGGAGAACATGTTGCAGAGGGCTGATGAGTTGGGATTGGTGATAACAGCCCCAATGGCTGTCGCATGTACTGGCCTGAAAAGAAGTCTGTAACCATCAAAAGAAATGCATACTGGAACCCCTCCTCAGCTGAGCTGTTACCTTGCAAGGGGGAGGAAGAAGACAACTACTTACCAAATGTGATGCTAACATCTCCATCTCCCACTGAAAAGATGAAAGAAGCACCAACACCTCCACATGCTGCCCCAGCTCATCCCCTGCTCCCACCACTTCCAGCCAATCCACTTGTTGTGAAACAAATTCAAAAGCCCAGCCAATGTCTTGCAGAGATTCTCACAGGAAAAGCAAGTACTGACCATTGTGGCACACCAGAAATACCTAAAGGAGTTCAGCTACCTACTGTTGTCAAAGAACATTCCAACCCCATCAGCTTGAAGTGGAGGATGAGGCTGCAGCCCTACTCATGTCTATCATTGAAGACTCAGATGATGACCAATGTCATGTCAACCTTGCTATGGTTATGGATGAGATCACTCTGAGACAGAAGCTCTTGAGCCCAGCTTGCTAGCTGAAGCTTGTCACTGTCCTGATTGGCTGCAATGGGAAGATGGAATAAGAGAGGAGTTAGTGACATTAGGAGATGCAGGAACTTGGGAACTTGACTTATGACCTGGTGCAAATGTCATAGGTTCAAAATTGGTGTTCCAGGCCAAGAAGGATGCCACAGGAAACTGTTATGCCTGTGTAGAGAATCTTTCATTTTTTGACTTTTTGCAGTCACATGCATCACATGACTTCTTGCAACCTTAGCCATTGTTGTCTACATGGGCATGTCTGTGCTCAAAGAACAACCTGGACTGTTGGAAGTCATTGTGTTTCCAATACCTTCCAATGCTGCACATCTGTAGGTGATCCAGTGTTCCACTCCCATCTTTGATGAATGATCAATTTCACATTTCATCTCTGACTTGTGTTTATTGTTCTGATTGTTTACTTCTTGTTCCAGTGTCAGGCTCCTCACTGTGCATTGACGGCATGGCCAGTATAGCCTTCATTTCCTTAGTAACCCTATCTTTGACACCATATGACTCTTTTAAATTTCATTGTTTACTGCTGCAGATACTTACCACCCAGATGGCATGACCAGTAGGGTACTTTTGTCCTGAGGTATTTATACAGCTGTACCATACCATGCATCCTCAGTTTTTTGATAGCTTGCAACTCAGCTAATTCCTTTAACTTCATCCTCATTTATTCCCTGTCACAATCTCAGAAGAACTCACCAGCAGAATGAACCTCTGTTGGATATTGTTAATAACTGAGCCATAGGGGTTATGACAAGTTTGGCCCATAGTCTCCCCTTCATGTCACTTGTGACTAGTCCATTTGACAAAGTCACTTGGCTTGGGCATAACAAAATCAAAAAACTCTTGTGGTCTTATGAAGGCTCATTGTCTCCCTATGCATAAAGACTAACTTGCCTTTGTTCTTCCATTGTGCAAGCAAGCACAGAAGAACACCTTTCCCAACTCAACCAAATACATCAGTCTACAGGCAGCCACTAGGCTTTAATAGATCACCTCCCTAACTTCAGACTTGTCCAACAAACAACACCTTTACTGACAGGTTTTCTTTGGAATATAATTCCTCCCTCAGCCTTCATTGTCACTATCCATTAAAGTGTCAAACCCTCAGAAGCAGAAACCACCTGTTCTCCCTAGGTTACCCATCTCTAGAGGACTTGGAATCAGTTCCCCTATACTGTCCTTTGGTCAATGAGGTCCCTCAGTAACTGCTACCAATCCACATCTATCTTATTTCTCTCAGTTCTGAGAAACTGAAGTAGCACTTAGCTCAGAAGAAGACAATCAGAAGTCTGAAACTTCTTTCAGATCAGTCCTCAAAGAAGAACAAGAAGTGACAGGAAGTATGTCCATAACTCAAGGTCATAGAGAGTCTGTTCTGGAAATGCCCCCTCATCAATACTCTGAGGGAGAGGTGGAACAGAGAATGGAGGACTTATAGGCACAATTGGCAGAAGAGTTTCACCAGTCTGTTATTGCAAATGACCTGTTTCCTTGAGGGATGCCTACTGACACAGCATTACAAGAGTGGTATGCCAGAAACTTCAGAAAGGTGGTTCTCTCAGAGCCCTCCACTGGTGGGGGCAGTAAGGGAAGAAGCCAAAACAAGGATGATGAAGAATTACCACTATGGGCAACCACCCAATGGTGGTCAGGAATTTAATGCCAGGCAACCTGGAGAGACTTGGCTTACCCAAGTGGAAGGCTACTTAGCCTGGAATCAACATGTATGCAACATGGAGGCTCTCAAGATTTCCTTTGCTCTTACTTATATGATGAAGGGAGCAGCAGTATCATTCACAGAGAATTATCAAAATGAACACAAGTTGTCTGATGGAACTATCTGCTACCTTGGTGACTTTAAAAATGTCATTGAATGACTCAAGGCAACTTTCAAGTCTGGTGACCAAACCACACTCACTATACTTTGTCTATTGGACATCAAGCAGGAGAAAAGGGAGTTGGAAGCATACATTGCAGAGTTTATGGGTCTGGTCAATAAGGCCTAGTTGAAGGAAGAATCTTGGGAAGCTGGAATCTTCTTTGGGAAAGGTTTGTCCAAGGGATATCACAACTGGATTTTAAATTCCAGAGGAATGCTGATCATAGTGATCAAATGGATTCAGGCTGTGGGAGAAGCAAGGACAGCCTTGGCCACAAAGCACATGTTAGAAGGAAAAGAATTGCAACATGAGTGAAGGCTCATTTCCTATCACAGCAATCATTGAGATCCCAATGCAATGGACATGGACAAATGAAAAAAAAATGTATGTTGTTCCAGTTTGGAAATTGAATGCTATAATTGCCAAGAAGTCAGTCACATCAAATGTGACTGTAAGAAGAAGCAACTTTCCAATGTTTGTATAGTAGTTGCCAAGGACAGTACCAAGACTGCCTATGTGGGCAACAGGGAAGCTAACAAGGAGGAAAGGAAATTGCTGGGTTTTTAAAGAGGACTGCTGAATCACCTGCTACAGTCAGTCCTGTTTCTGTGTTGTTGGCTAAATGTACTTCTATAGATGATGAATCCTCTATGCAAATCCACTCTCTGCTTGGATTGGTCATTTTGCCCAACTTCAATGCAGGTATCTGGGCATGCATCAACTCTGGTGCCAAGGTTTTATTGATTTCTGAAAGGATGGTCCAAAAGCTCAAGATCCCAATGTATAGGTTGGAACAAAAGTTTAAGACTATGTCCTTCACTGGGAAAGACAAAGAATGGGTAACGCACAGGGTAACCCTGAAAATGGAAATCAAGAACTGCACAATAAGGGTCAAATGCTACATCAGTCCTCTTGTAGTAAAAGAACATATCCTCTTAGGGATGCCCTTCCTTAAAGAATTCAAGCCACATATGAACTGGGAAACTGGGAAGATTATGTGCTGGGATGATGGGTATGTACATCCCAAGGAAAAAACTAAAATCCAACAGAAAGTATCTTTGGATGCAAGGAGTGTAAAGGAATCTCCTGGCCCTCCCCTGGAAGTCCAAATTAACAAAAC